ACTTTGATGCCGGCGATCATGTTTTCAACTAATGTTATGAATGAACAAACAGAAAACCATAAACAGACAAATTGTTTCTTGAAACGTTTTACTCGAAAACCCATAAGTTTACCGTTAAAAGAAATTCACGCAACACTGACTGGATCGTGGATCCATTCCCACATCGGCTGAGCACATGACAAAAATTAACACTAAAAGTGTCTGTCGCATTTCCCAATTTTTCTTGAAAAAACTATCAAAAATATACAAAGCGTTCATGAAACATTTATAAATACATAAATTTCCTTTCAAGAACGTACTTGGCTTGAGCATAATGTGTAAAATGCGCTCCGCCGTGAAGGAAACAAGGTCGAAGTCCTCGAGGGTAAATTTCGAAGGTTAAAACTTTTCTTTGTCCCCCAAAAGAAAACAAACTTTTGCATGTCACACGTCCAATCAAAACTGCTATACATGTGTTCGCTTACGTTTCTGAATGAATAAAAAAATGTACACTCAGAAAAAAAAAAGATTCCGTTCCGACTTCATCGGCGCCTTGTACAACGCCTCTGTTGCTGTTCTGCAAAACTTGCCATATCATTCTTTTTGTAGTCGCCATGCTGGTTTTGCTGAATGAGAACAGAAGTTGCAGATAACTGGTTTGCTCTGGTAGATAGGTCTGCAGCTAGTAGCCTGAGGATGATCTTTGTCGGTCAAACAGGCTGCAGATGCAAGTGCTGATTTCGGCTAGAGGGTTTGCGATATCGTGAAGAAATGTAAACGTCCTTGTCTTACTTCGTCCCTGGTCGATGTTTTCAAGCCATACCGCTTATGACTTTGTGGCTCTTTATGTTTTCCCAGGGTTGCCTTTTATAGAGGCATAATAACTTTATCTTTTATGCCACGAAACGATTTCTTTCGGTCGTAGACATACATGTATAATAAACGTTGCAAGCTCAAAATTTTAGCCTTAAATTCTCTGATTCCATGTTTGGGCAAAATAATTTTCCGTGCTTCTGATTGGACGGCAGCGTCGACTAAACAAACCCAGCATGGTTCTAAACAGACTCTTTGGGGTTATACTGCTTCTGTTTTTTTTACTCGGGTTACTCGAGGCTCTTTCTCTCTTCCACTCGTTTCTTACAGTAATCTCCTTTCCATCCCTCTCTTTCCCTTCTCAAGGACACTTGAGGGGCCGAGGGGTTGGATTTGAGGAAGAGATAGCCACAAATCAGGTTGAAATTTATGACATCAGTGCGCGTATTTTGGTTATTGAAAAACCCAGATGCGCGATCTTCAGGTGTTAATCCTCTTTTATAGTTATTTATTATAAAATCATTTATATTATAAGCATGATTCAATATTAAAGTGAATAATAGGATTTCAAGGCCAAAAATAAAAGACGACTTTGATTACTGACTGTATTTTATTCAGGAAAAAGGAAAACATGGCAGCAGCGAGGACTGGCTCTATCCAGGGACGGTTTGTTAACGAGAGGCAATTGTTTCATGGAACCAACCCTGAAATTGTAGAAGCTATCTGTAAACAGAACTTTGACTGGCGTCTTCATGGGAAGAACGCAACTGTTTACGGGGAAGGAAGCTATTTTGCATTAAACTCCTCGTACAGCGATCGTTACGCTAAGGAAGATTCCAAAGGGTCTAAGTTCATGTTCGTGGCCAAGGTCCTCGTTGGGTCTTATACTACTGGCCATTCCAGTTATCGAAGGCTACCGTCAAAGGAGCCCTCGAACCCCGCAAGTGATCTGTACGATTCCTGTGTTGATGACAGGTCATTTCCAACCATTTACGTCGTTTTTGATACTGATCAGTTCTACCCGGAATACATAATAGAGTACTACACAACTCGAGACGGTCATCAGCAGCCTGCTGGACCTGTGACAAGAGCACCTGCTCCAAGACCAAGACGCTTACCGGCAGCAATGGGAGTGGCAGCTACAGCGCATTACAACGCTAGCAGCCTATCCACCAGTTATCAGACGACCACAAGCTCGAGTGTGCTTTCGCCTGTTCAAGCGCTTTATTCAAGCTCCTTATTAAGTCTAGGCGGTTACACTTCCACATCCAGCACAACGTATAATTCGCCATCTGCAAATTATTATCATGATTCGCCCATAGCAGGAGTGACCCCTTTTACCAGCTCGAGTGTGCTTTCGCCTGTTCAAGCGCCTTATTCAAGCTCCTTAACAGGTCTAGGCGGTTTTTACACTTCCACATCCAGCACAACGTATAATCCGTCATCTGCAAATTATTATCATTTGCCCATAGCAGGAGGGAGTCCATTTACCAGCACCTCAAGCCATTATCAGTATCCTCCTACTGCTTCAACTACTACTTCATACCGGTACTCTGGCGCGTCAGGTAATCAGTCGGTTTCACCTTCTTCATCTTGGTCATCCAGTCCAGCCTACAAGCCCCAAAAACCCAGGGATTCTTCTAAAGATAAATGTGTAGTTTATTTATATATTTTTTGTATTTCAATGAATTTTGTTGTTGTTATGTATGCCATTTTTTTACACACTGACTTATGAACACGTAGGAAAAATATCAAAAAAGAAAAGAAAACTATACATATATACATCACAGACTCATACACAATTACATTCTGATCTAAAAGAAAGAAAGAAATACACCCCAGTACCTTCTTCTCATTTTACATGAAAAAATTAATAAAAATTAGTAGTAAATGAAGTAGGCAGCGAAAGGATCGTATGCTAATCAGATTTATATTTGCTCCATTTCATATTGTGGGTCTCCAACTTATTGTTTGACTTAGCGATCATTGTCTCGATTAAGAAAACAGTATTAATTTTGGAATTAAGAACTCAAATGGAGGGAGAATATCTGTTCTGTGTACCATAGTATAGATATTGTTTTGCCAGTAATAATATATGATTCACAAATATCTCGTCCTCACATCCAATAATACCAAACAGTATATCTTTGTTTGAAAATTTTTCAATCTTGACCTTATCATCAACAAACCATATATTTTATAATTAACCTCAGACCAGAAATTCTTAGTATAATGACAAGACAGGAAATTAAAAAAGATGTTCGAGGGATTCATCCGATTCACTCCACGTAAGGAGCAGGCTGGAGATGGTATAATACCAGTTTTGCATAAGAAGGTATTTGTCACAAGGCATCTGTTTAGTAATTTATAGTGATATTCGCGAGTCTTTGTGTCCAAGGCAACATGTACACGATGTGGCAAGCTATAAATTTTTTTCCAATTCAAAGTGTCATTAACAAAATGAGCACTAAACTTTAGTTTAGCTGTTGCTGGAGTGACGATTCTGTTTCGAAGTTCTTTATAAACAATTTTCGAATACGCTGTTTACAGCGGTCTTGCCCAAGCGACTATGTAAGACACATACACCATGCATTCATTATCATCTTCGAGACAAGACACACAGGTCTCATCATGGTCTCATTAAACGTCCTCGTCAAACTCTTTCCCTCCTCAGCCTTTCGCCTTTCCCCTTGTTTCTTCATTGGCATTCACCGCTTCCTTTCTGCCTCCTGTTTTTATTTCTATCTTCTCAATTTATTTGGCTATGCTCGCGGTAAGTATCTCGGTTTGCAGCCTAGATTTTATATGTTGCCACGTGTTCGATATTCGGTCCGGTCACATATATTTTCAAGGTCAGTATTCTCTGTACTTTTTCACTTTGTTTGCAGTATTTTCTTAGTTATATTCTTTGCTTTGGTCGTTTTTGTTTTCAATGCCTTCCTTACTATTATTTTCTAGACCTGCAACCGCTCCCGGGATTTCAGTCTTACAAGGGGGTCAAATTCCCTGTCGGATTATTGGCGCGTAAGACTGCTATCCCTCGAGCCGCGTCTTTTCCTATATTGTCCTCACTGTGCCACTTTATCTTTGAGGTTGCAATTCCCTAGCTTAAGCATTTCTTTCCGATTGGTCTTGTGAGTGGCACATTCGCTGGCTTCAGTCTTCTCCAATTTTATTGAGCGGCTCTAGCAGTGGGATGTAGTCAGTTCTTGTTCATCCAGTTCTTGCACTATGTCCGCGGTTTCTTATTTCCGCATGCCTATTTTGTCCCATGCTGTTTAGTCTTCGTGCTTCCTAGTTTTATTCATGCAGAGTCAGTGCATGCTGCTATTCCCGTTGGGTTTTGAAGGTACGTTTTATTATAAGTTGCTGTATTCTCATGTCTGAGCTATATTGTTTGGCTTATGCTCTCGTTGTTGTTTTTAGCAAAACCCACAGGTTTTTTGTTCTAAATAAATGTGTTTTGTGGCTCCAGAGCAGAAATTGTTTTACGGGAACTTTTTGTTACCCTACTCTGTCGAGCGTGTGTTAGAACCAAGGGCTTAATTTAGCGAAAATTTTCACGCCCTAGTATTGTTTACACTGAGGTTTGTGGCTCCAGAGTAGAAGTTGTTTTACTGCAATTTTTTGTTATCTGACTCTTTCGAGCGTGTGTTAGAACCAGGGGCTTAATTTCGCTAATTAAAATTTTCACGCCCTGGCCCGGGTTGTTCAAAAGTTGGATAGCGCTATCCGTCGGATAAATCACTATCCTGAGTGGATAAGTTTCAGGGAAAACAACTGCACTATCCACTGGATAGAGATTTATCCGCTGAATAGCGCTACCCACCTTTTGAACAACTGGGAACTGGTCTTGTTTACACTGTGTTTTGTGGCTCCAGAGCAGAAGTTGTTTTACGGCCAGTTTTTGTTACCTGACTCTGTCGAGCGTGTATTGGAACCAGGGCGTTAATTTCGCTAAAATTTTCACACCCTGGTCTTGTTTTCACTATTTACAGCGGTCTTGCCCAAGCGACTATATAACACACATACACCATGCATTCATTAACATCTTCGAGACAACACACACAGGTTGCACACAAATTGTTGTTATGCGGCCATGCACCTCGCCTTGCCCGCTCTCCACGTCATGGCACGTCTTTCGGGTGGTTTGTTTTTGTCTCTTCCCACCCCATCCCAGCCCATAGCATTTCGGGCCTGTATCCTTCATCCGGAAGAGGCCGCCAGATTCTCCATCACTTAGCATAGGAGCCCGGGCAAGATTGATGTAAATAGGATACTTTTTCAAGTAAAACAATTTGACCACTTCAGCGTAGCTTATTCTCATCACTCAAATTGAATGGTGTGTCACCTGTAGAGATGCAGGTTTCCAACGATTCACGCCATTGAGTTGGTAGAGCGTCTATTAAAGAGAACAGCCTAAAGCCATCCAACAGCGAAAGGTGCAAGACTCTAAACTCGCTTTCGATTATAAGTTCATTTTTATTCGAGATTAAATCACCCACTCGCATAAATTTGTTGTTCCATAAGATAACTTTTGACAAGTCTTTTCCATATAAATCCTGTATATTTAAATTATTTACCGCAGAGCACTTTGCAAAAAAAAAAATTAAGCATTCTTCATAAAAGACTGGTAATTTGATACGCAATTTCTTCAAATCAAAGTCACAACATAAGACTAATTTACCACTAACAGGTTACAGATAATGCAAAGGGATTGTTTTCCATCCACTCGGTTGATCATTTGCCAATTTCTTGCAGCAAAGTACTCTTTGTGTTTCAATTATGGAATTTAAATGTGGGGCTTTTTAAATGTGATCCCTTTAAAGGACTTAAAAGTCCTCCATCTTCGATGTCACTAATAAGTGCAGAGCGTTTAACTTTATTCTTTCCAGATAAAATCAAAGATAATTTTGTCTGCTTGTTTCACAAATTCTTTATCCAGTGATATCAAGCTCGTGCGATATAAGAAGATAGGGATAATAAAGGGTTTGACAATTTGAATTCTCCCTATGACAGTCAGATCCCTCCACCTCCAGACTCGTAGCTTGAGTTGAATGGAGCTGATTAATTCATTGATGTTCAACTTTTGTTTTGCGCGAATGTCGTAGGTAAAATGTACTCCTAAGATTTTAACTGATCGTTTAATTTTTATATTGTGCAGAGCGGTTTCTTGTACGGAACAGGCCAGGTTACCTAGCAGCAAAGGCTCTGTCTTTTCGTGGTTAACCTTTAGGCCAGAACAAGTTCCATAATCTTCCATAAGTTTAAGAAAGTTTGTTTGAGAGAGATCATCCTTTAAAAAACCGGTCGGGTCATCTGCGAAAAGACTTACTTCGATCTCTTCATTATCAATTTTAATACCACGAATGTCATTATTAACACTTAGTATATATGTTGTGGTTCAAATTTTTCCTTGGTTTAAAATGTTTCAAACCAGTTTAATTTTTACTTTCCTTCGTCTAAAATCAATTACCATAATCAGAGACAAAGAAAAACAAAAATTAAACTGGTTTGAAAAATTTTAAACCAAGGAAAAATTTAAACCACAACATATACACACTCAGTGATCTTGGTAATTCAAGCAATCTGATTGGTTAGCTATCTCGGACTATGACGTTATGTTCACCGCGCAGAACAAAATCGCTGTCGTGAACTGGGTGTTTTGCCAAAGTTTCATTGTAAAGCCTTTTTGAAAATACACGAATATCCAAGTGCTGATGACTTTGAAGGCAAAAAAAGACTTCATGGTGTTTAAACAGCGTTATTTATTGTGAAGTGGTTTACTGTAGCTGACTTTTTGTGCGCTCGAAGCTATGTTTACCGCTACAGAGGAAAACGAGGTCGCTTTGTCACTGTTTTGTGATTTCGGGATTTTCTCGCACCAATTTTGCCTATAAATAGAAGTTAATTTATGGAGAAAAGAGGAAGACAAATGTTTGCGAAAATTGTACCCATGGTTTGAGTTTTGTTATAAAAGGTTCTAACAAATTTGATTGCCTAATTAAGGAGACGCTCTTTATAAGAAAACTCAAACCATCCCTAAACGTGCAGGGGGACTCGATTCGCGCAAAGGTATTCACTTGAAGAACTTGTGATCCTTTGTTATTATGCTAATTTGTAGAGACCATAGAAATCGAATCTTCGCATTATTTATTCATTTTGCGGTGCGAATGGTGTCATGATGATACCGAAACGTCGGCTTTTAACGTTAATATTCGCTTAATAATAATAATAATAATAATAATAATAATAATAATAATAATAATAATAATAACAATAATAATGGTCTTTAATGCACGTAAGATCGTAGAATAAATGTATTGAGGAATCCTTGAGAGATCAGTATGTCAAGTTTACTCTAATAATGATAATAATAATAATAATAATAATAATAACTGCATAATAATAATAATAATAATGATAATAATAACAATAATGGTCTTAAATGCACATAAGATAAAGGTACATATCCTAGTTGTTACACGGATTATGAATTATACATCATCGAAATAAACAGGAAGCTTACGTCACACATGTGGTTTCCAGTGGGGCCCTGCATAAATCCTAACTATCCTATACTAAAGTTATACTCATTGCAACTGTTTATCTATTTACAAGAAGTTGTGTTCCTTGTTATTTATCCAATTTTGGTCGATCTCGGCGGGCGCATCCCTATTTCGGTATCGTTACCAGCGATCGATTGGCTTTTACATTATGCATTATTGACCAAGCGTGAGTCTAGATGCCGTATATTGGCCAAGTTTGTTTGTTTTTTTTGCTTTTTTTATGAACACACGATGCCAATGTCCAGAATCTTGACCAAACAAGGTAAACACGAGTAAAGGAATGTATAAAAAGTGGACAAAAGAGAACTTTCTCCCGCGGGACTTTATTTTTAACGCGGAAAATCCCGAGTGGGTACGATCGGGCCATCTTGCCCACTCGGGTAGCCAATCAGAACAAAGGAATCGTTTCATATTGCGCCCTCGCGGATTCAGCCATATTTATAATAAAATTGCCTATTATTACTTCCTTTCGACCTGGGACCTGTGGAAGCACCCTTCGTTTCTTCCCCGTGTCAGTACTATCCTCGGATAAATTTCTTGCGTCATGACATGACTTGAACAATGGTGAAAAGGACCTTTATAGCGGAGCCCCATAGAAATTTTGGTGATCACTTGACCATACGCCAGTCTGACCGACCGTCCACACCAAAGACATGCCAATGTAAAATAACTCAATAAACAGGTATGACACCACAGGCAATTAACTCGAGGTTTTTTTAATTCTCAAACAGTAACCACCCAAGGCTTTTAGAGAGAAAAACCAACAAACAAAGTCGAGTCTTTTTCGACGTTATTTTTTATGTCTAAACTCACGTGGATAACAGAGAAGGAGCCAGAGCGAGTAATTAAAAACAAAGGAGAAAAACATGAAAATTTCATACCGGCGGTGAGACAAATGAGAAATGCTAGCAGCCAGCAAGGAGAAAATGAGCGGCAATGAAAAAAATAAGGGCCTGTTTACATGGAGGTGGGGGACCCCAAATAGGTGAGGTAACATTTGGCGGGTCACCCCACCTATCATGTAAACGTGATCAAATTAAAATGAGAGATTATATGGACAGGCGGGTTACCCCACCTAAGCGGGTTACCTCACCTACCTGGGGTCCCCCACCTCCATGTAAACAGGCCCTAAAAGTGAACAGGAACTCAAGTACCAAAATTTTTGGTGAGCACATACGACAATTCCTCCATAAAAAATAATGTGTAACGAGGAAGTTTGACGTTTTAGTCGTGCAAAACGGCATTGTCTGCATTGTATTTGTAAAAAAACAATGGCAAAGAAATGTACAAAAGAGTGTGCTGCACGTGCAAATAATTTGTTTTTTTTGCTGATTAGATCTATTGATTTTGTTGCCGTTTTCATTGCCATCGCCGTTTAGCATTACACGATTTTACGTTTTTTTTTTATAAGTACCTAGTTAATAAAAGCTTCACTTTTAGTCCTGGCTAAATCTATATATCATCCAATACAACTTAACTGAAAATTTCCTCACAGGGAATTTCATCTTAATTCGGTCAGCTCTGAACTGCTGTCCCAGCCTCGTCCCTAGGCGTTCTCTCTTGTCCCGTTATCCGCGCGAAGTCTTGGAAAAGGTGGGCACTAAGGCAACGCCCATGGACCGGGGAGGTGCCATCAACCTAGTGGCTTAAGAAACTGATTGCAGAAATTTGCCATCTTGGTATACCCAAAAATATAAGAACCTGTTTAGCCAAGTAAGATTAAGCAAGTTCTTGCATGTGGGTTCCAGTATTAGAATATTATGATTGGCATTTTAATAAGGAGCTTATTTTGACCTTGAGATTGCAAATTTCATATTATAAGAAAGTACTTTTTATCAAGTAATTGTATCATATTTTATAGTAGTAATTTTTTCATATACTAATCTTTTTATGAAAAAAAAACACTCAGTATAAATATGCATTATTCTGTAATCAGTTTCCTTAGAAAACGACTGTGAGTAAGTACTGTATATTTTAGGACCAAAACCAAATTTATTTTATTTTTTTGGTCTACAACTATATCTCCTTCATTGAAATTAACTACCTAATTAACAAACTACTGAGCCTAAGTTGCCAATAACTACCCCAAAATACAAGAGCCTTTTTTTCTTCAGTGAGAGTTTTAAAAAAATTGTTACTTCCTACACGTAGGTTTTTTACTACATTGCATTTAGCCGAAGTAAGCCAGATGGTATACTGCTAGCAGTCTCCCCTTTTCCTCGTAAAGTCACGCGTGTGGTCATTTGCGTGTCACGCGCGTTTTGCTCGACGGACCAAGAAAAAGGAGAGACTGCTCGTACTAGTAATCTTGCATCCTTTTATAAATTAAACAGACCGAGAACTTCAAAGCAAATGCAAATATCACTGATTTAGGTTTTCTTTTTAGCTGAGTTCACTGAGATATTAGACTGATATTTTCCCCCCTTTTACCTTAAAATTGCATTTCTCAGAGATCATGATGACATGTTTTGTTGCAGTTTTTTTGAAGGTCAACAGTCTACACAGCCGACCAAAAAAACGAGAAATGAATGCGTGACAAACGAACCCCAAAGGACGTCTGCGGGGAGGCTAGATCAGCTGATGTTGACGTCAGCACTGAGCCACGTGGTTTGTGAATGCAGACAAAACAAACTTTACATGCAAAGACACGCCATGCATATTCTACGAATGTATGGATAGGAGGCAAACAGAGCGTATAATACCCTGTTGAAGGTACAGGCTGAAGTTTTCGTAGTTCATAACAGTCTCCTACAAGTTTCTTTCGCCATATAATCCCCTCGGGAGACAGGGCTATTTTTTCTCGGAATAATATTCAGACATTTTTCACTTTCTAGGAAATCTTCGTGACAGACAAGATGGCGGATGATGTTTTGGCAGAGAAAATGTTCAATTATATCTGCGGTAGCGGCGGTTTTGTACAATTATCTGTTCTTTTAAAGCAGTCCTCGCCCTTGGGAAGTAGGAAATCAGAGTTTGAACCGAAAACCTGGCTGTTGAGTCAAGCTGATAAGCGTTTAGTGGTCCTGAAAGATTTCAATGGCGAGATAGCAGGTGTGCGAATTGATTTAAGAAGAAAAATATGTCGACAATATCACGACAAAGGTTCTTGTCGAAGAGCTCAGGGGAAGTGTAAGTTCTGGCATATTTGTAAAGGATTCATCGAAGAAAATTGCGATGGCAAATGCAACCGCTCGCACAACTTTTTTGACCCAGAAAACAACGAGAAAACAAAAGAATTGGGGCTGGCTAAATATCAGAACGGGACTTTAAAACATATTGTTGCGTGGAGCCTGCCACAGGTTTGTGAGCTGTATACAAGAGGTATATGTACGTCGGATTCATGCTTATACCTTCATCTTTGTTCTCAAGCTGTCCGAAGTTCAGCGTGTTCTTGTTCCGCTTTGTCACACAACCTCACGGATTCTCACAACATGAAGATTCTCAAACAGTATGATCTGGTGCCTCATCAGTCGATGTCAACAGATTTTGTTCGGTGCAATATCTTGGTTCCGAAGGAACAGCGTGTTCTTCACAAAGCTCATGATTTTTTACCCAGTGTTTGCAACGCCGGTGAAAATTCCTCTAAGGAAGCGATGGGAGTCATACAAGGTACTAAAAAACAATCGCCGGAAGTGTCTGCACCATCCAGACTCGAAACTACAACATCTCCGTTCAATACGAAACAAAGCTCTTACGATAATATTAAAGAATCCGATGCTGCATGCAGTTTTCAAGATCGAGCTGAATTTGAGAAGAAGAATTGCCCGTCAAATCTTTTGCAAGAGAAGACAAACAAGTCGGGAGCACCAATCTGTAAGCAAACCGATCGTATTAACAATTTAACGAGTAATGCAGTATCACCTTCTGAGAGTATGCTTGAGTTTTCAAATATTCAAACTGGAGACGATTCTGATACCTCCTTTGATGAAAACAAGCCTGCAAATAGAAACACCACAGCCGTTGGATGTAAATATGATAAGAAAAATTCGGTTGATGCCATGAAAGTTGTTGGTTTAAAACAGAATCCTATAAACATGATGAAAAACGAATTGGATGGAAATGATTCGATGAAATGGGAGCAAGGATCTTTGATTGACAGTTCAAGAAAGGATCCAAATATTGACCGATCGCAAAAGAAGAAAAGCAGAAATTCTGTGACTAAAGAGCAACAAACCAAGGCAAAGACTCAAGAGGTGGGAAAAAATGCAGCCTGTATGAAGGCGTTGAGTACACAACAACCGAAAAGTTTGGATGTGTCACGTGACACAAAAGACAGTCAACGCCAACATGAATCCAACAGAGCCTCGGAAAGTGCCAATAAAGAGCGGTTTGTGGAGGCCTGGTTGACAAGCCGCGATTTCGTTGTTGAGTCTACTTTCAGTTGCACTGATTCGCACAGGCTACCAACCTCACAAGAGGTGGAATCTGGGCGTCAACGAAAGCTGTCTGTTTCCAGTTCTTGCAACTCTGTTCAAGACTCGCGTAAATTTTCACCCTCCAAAAAGGCTGTTTTCGATTGCATTGTGAAAGAATACAATGGCACGGTGTCCTTTGATGTCATTTCAAAACGACAAGATTTGTTTCCCAACGGTTGTGGGGACATTGCCAAGTGGTTTAGAGCAAGATCAAAAGAAAGCTTTTTAATCAGAGAAAAGGAAGGAATCATTTACGAGGTTAGTGCCTTCTGTCGAAAGGCAAGGTTTTGTTTCAAGGAAAAGTGTTCTCAGAAGGATTGTCAGTACTTCCATGTGTGTAGGGAGTACATCGCTGGCTTCTGCAGGCGTGGTATTGAATGCCAAAGAAATCACTGTTTTCAGTACGATCAAGATAGAAAGTTAATTTCCAAACACAAGTTGGATGGTTTGACAGAAGAACAACTCCGCAACGTGTTTCAGCTTTCTACGCCTCAAGTATGTCTGGATTATAACAATGGACGTTGCACCAACGGTTTGTCTTGCGCCCAAGTACACATTTGCAAAGATTTTATCAAGAAGAGGTGCGACGATGAGGAAGACTGTGGTCTTCGACACGAAAGCGCGTTTGCCGAAGCTCACACCACTGATGTACTTCAGAAATATGGCATGAGAGTCATTGGAGGCAACTTCAGTTCAGTGCTTCGCACGCTTTTGGTATGCCAGGAGAACATTTCCAGTGGTTTGAAAGACCCCAAGGGCAATATTACTGCAAAGGGCGTGACCACTAAAGGGAGCAAGGGAGTTCAGCACATGTCATCGAAAGTGGGCGTGACTGCAAGTGCCCCTGCTCAGCCAGCTGAGGTTAAAGTCTTCGAATACCTTTGCAACGAATACGATTGTTCTGCTTCTCTTTCCGTGATTTCCAAACGAACAGATTTGTTCCCGTCTGAATTTAAGGATGTAGAAGCTTGGTTTCGAAACAAGAAAGGGAGTTTTCTCATTACAGAAGACGATCACAGAAAGATAACCCAAGTGGACGCTTTCTCTACAAAAGCACGTTTATGTCTAAGTTACAACAACTCTCATAATGGGGAGTGCACTAGAGGTAACTGTTCCTACTTACACGTCTGTAGAGAGTACATAACCGATTCCTGTAGCAACGGAGCAACATGCCCGCGGAATCATCACTTCCAAGACGAGAGAGAAAGAGCTCTATTGTCGAAGATTAAGCTTGACAAGTTAACAGATGAGCAACTTAGGAAGCTCGTTCTTTCATCTACTCCCCAAATCTGTGTAGAGTACAACAATGGTTTATGTGATCTTGCTGAGTCGTGTTCTAAAATACACATGTGTAGAGAACATTTGAAAAAGTGTTTTAGAAGGGGATATGGCTGTGACTTACTTCATGAAGAAGCCATGAACACTGAACACACCCAAGCAATTCTTGAACGTTTTCAGCTGGGACACCATAAATCAGACCTGGTAAAGAAAATTATTCTTGTTTGTGATCAGCGCGAGAAATCCGCATGTTCAAAAGAAAAAACTTCAGGTACGTAATGTAAAATTTTGTCGTCCCTATGACATCTCTATTTAGGTATACTGAATTTTCGTTTTAATACGCATTTTCCGTGGTTATGAAAAAGAGTCGCTTCCTACGTAGGACGCTAAAAACGTAGTAGTCTTCAAGGTCCACATAAAGGTAGCTTAATGCTGCGGTTTTCGATCGAGAAACCCGGGGTACAATAAGCCTTACTTATTAAATTACATTGTCAGACAGTAAGATTGAACATCATGATTTTAGGGAAAAGGGAAAAGTTAGCTTTATATGACACAATGAAAGTGTTTAAAAGAGGGAAGCTGCCAATTAAAGACGGAGAGCTAAGACGGGTGTTAAGAAATTTCTACCCTGGCCGAAGGTTTAGAAAAGTTGGATTTTCCGTGACCGTTTTGATCGTGAACGTTATAAGACGGAAAACCAGTCTGACAAAATGTAACAAAATAGAAATGAATGAGTATCAATGTAAATAAAAAGTTGTTATCATATATATAAATACTGCATGATAATGCCTCAATAGTCAGTGGGACAAATTTTAGTTATTACTGAACGAGCCGTCATTTCTCTCTCTTTTTCACTCAAGGCATTCTGACAGGACATATTCTCGTAAACGAGCCAGATGCACCCATTTGCCCAGCGTTTATTCTTAGCAATTGTAAGAATGGTTCTAAGTGTACAGGCCATCACTGCTTTTTGCCTTACCATTGGCAATATAGCGCGGATGCAGGTGAATGGAAGAGTTTTAATGAGAAAGACAACGAGAAGCTAGAAAAACTGTATTGTGACGTGACACTTGAGGAATGTTCTGCTACAGGCATGCAAATATCATTTGAAAGGTATGTTATAGTAATTGTACACTGAGTATCTTGTGAAATTAATGGATTTTCTCTCATTTACAGTTATAATAATAATGCGAAGTAAGTAGACATACTTCAGCCCAAATCTAATGTATGAGAAAAGATTACGGAGTATGGCCAAATACAAGGGCTAAAGGCGAATGAAGCAGAACATTGGGATTTTATCTTATGATGCATCTTTTTAAACATGAATTATAGACCTCATTCATAACGGCGGCCTATTACTGTGAAACTCACAAAACCGTGAACACCAGAAATATTTATGAAATGTTATTGTGTTACGAGGAATTAGCCAATAAGGCGCGAGATAAATAACATGCAAACAACAACGGTAATTAGTTTGTGGTTTTGAGGTTTGCTTGCGTATTCCTGAACTTTACTGTAATTGGCCAGTACACAATCAACTTTCCACGGTTTTCGGAGTTTGACAGTAATATACTAGAAATACGTATCTCGCAATGAGTTTGACAGTAATATATTATTGTATATGTATGATAATTAGCCATTCTGGCCTCGTTAGCATGTGAAAAATACAAAAGAATTTTAACTTTCAAACGAGTTCAGAAAGGCTAATCATCATAAATATAAAACAAAATTAGTAAGCCGCCATTTTGAATAAGGTCTATAGCTTGACATAATTATCATTTTAATATTCATATTTTAGCAATGGATTTTTATTCCTTGACGAGATGTATGATGTCGATATTTTGCTCGATAATAAGCTGCTGATTACACAGAAAGATTTTGAGAGGTTCACGCAACTACGACGCCTATCTACGGAGTCTGACGTAAACTCAAGTAACCCTCTAGCTACAGAGTGGATATGGTACTGGCAGGACGAAAATGGACTCTGGAGGATGTATGACCAAGACCACACTGTGAGTAAATAGTGGGAGAAATCGTGATAACTCAGTTGTAAGTAGCCTTACAGTCCTTCAAGGAAAGCGGTGCAAGGGGTGAGGGGTTGATTCTGTTTAAAGGTTCTGGTGAGCCCCTCAAGGTGATTTAAGCATTATGGGATATGGAAAGCTGCTCTAGGGGATCTGTAAACAATTCAGTTCGTTTGGGGGAATGAAGAAAGTCGGGAAATCTCTTGTCGCACGGCAGACAAAAAAGGGAGAAACCTTTTGTACGTCTACGGAAGTTATTGCGTACTTACTGTACTGAAACTGAGAGGCAAATGATTTCTCCAAACCAGTAAGAGATTTCAAAGAGTTTTATCGTGGAAAGCCTGAGGTAATCGAAATCTTAAATATGATTGACTTAGTCATAAAAGCGAATGAAAACACCTGTGAGAGGTTTCATTTATATGGTCACATGCCCGATAGGATGAAAAGTATGTTGTCAGAGTTTTCCATGGGTGTGAAATCTTTACTATAACATCGTATATGGCTGTCGTCTCAGAGTAATCGGGCAGAACCCCCGATTAAGAGTTGGACTTGCTGGATATGTGACTTGTATATTAGGCCAACCCGACAATTATTCCAAGCAATATATGGAGCGCGAGTAAAATTCTATATAGAGCAGTGTATGGTTCCTTGTCTCCACAACTTACCTTGTTATTAATAGGGCAAAGATCTTCAAGAATCCTTAGAAAAAGCCTTCTTGAACAAGAAAAACGATTTCAAGTTTCGGATTGCAGACCAGGATTACATTTTAAGTTTTAACCCATCAACTGACATGAGCCAGACAAACGTCAAGTACGGCACGACAAAAAAAGTAAGAAGAAGACCTAGAAAATTTGTGTCCAAGGATGACATTTCCCAACTTAAAAGGTATTCTGTGATGTAGAATTAATTAATGGCACGAACTTTATCCCTTCCGACCGATATGATGGGCCAATTTCTTTCTGTCGAAGTAATGAGCATAAAATCTCACACCTTCTTAGGGTGGCCAAAAGAAGTGTTTTAGTAAAGCTCTGTTTATAAGGATAAAAACTACTGTAGGTACCCAGCAAGGCACTAATTTATGTAAAATATAACCACGGGTGTGGTCGCTTATTTATGATCAGTCACAAAAATATGTCACGTCAGATGGGCCTTAGCCTCCTGCGTAGCCGCTCGGGCCGAAGTCACGCAATGCTCCCGTCTCCCTCTTGATGTGTTGTTTAATCTGTTGGAAGCTGGTCACTTATAGGCGAAGTGTGTGTCGTTAAAATGACTTCAATGTGATTTTACCGTTTGGGTCAATTATGGAGCCAATAGCCCCTTTGGGCTAACCTGGTGGTTCTGTTAAGGAAACCTTATGATGTTAGCATTCAAGTGAAACGTCGGGTAATAATTCTCAGTTGCTCAGTTACTTACTATAAATTCACTGAATTATGCTATATGGAGCATTCTTAGGAGATAAACCTGGATAACGATGTGTCACTGCGTTACCATCTTCTTTTTTAGGTCTCAGAATGCAGTGAGCATTCAGCAAGGGAGAAATGCACGAGCCACCAATATGCCAAGTCACTGGTCTTCCATGCCACCTAAGAGGCAATATCAACGTGTTCCGTTATCACGATTTTCTGACGAATTTAAAGAAGTGGAAAAACTCTTCAAAAAGTCCATCGAACGGAGTGTGTTAATTGTTGGCATTGAACGAGTGCAAAACCCTTTCATGTGGGAAAAGTACCAAAGGTACTACTGAACAAATGCATTTAACGTATACTAAGGTGTTAAATGTTACGTCACCAATGAACGTTTGCGTCGCTTATTACAACCTTAGAGGTGTGAAGACACTCTAATTGTCCCCAAAACATGACAAAAGACGATATCAAAACATAAGGATCACGAGGGCTTTAACTGAGTGCCCCACCGAATTTCGCGAGGGTTTGCGAGGCACTTTTTTCTAGTATGGGCTGGTCATTTGTGATAAATAGTGTTTTTCAATACAGTCTTCAATACAAAGTGTACTGATGAGAGATGGGGGAGGGGGTTGGGCTTATTTAAAAGGCACGGGCTTACTAGATTATTTATGGTACATAATTACCCTCATATACTTTAACTGCACCGTTCATAGTGTTATCAGAAGCATATAACCCCGGAGCGTATAACTTTGTCGCAATGCTGGGGTTTCTGTAGGGAACCAATCAGAATGTACTTCCTAATATGGAATTACTGATAAGCGGGGTTGTCGCTCGAGTGCTCTATAGGAAAACTTGTATCGCGATGTAAATAATGCGGTGCAAAAAGCATTTACTGTTTTACGAGGTAATATTTGACGAAAATCGGAATAAATGACCAGAACTGAGTTAGTTCCTCCTAACATGACAAAGTGGACTACCAATGACACGTACCGTAAGAGACGCGATTTCTTAAAGTTGTTACTTCAAAAACTGTTTTGCGTGACGATTAGCGCAAATAACCTTTAAAAAATCACTTACTATCTATCTAAAATAACTAGTAACACCTATTTTCAAATAAAATTCACTAGATGCTGTACTCGAAAGTAACAATTGTAGAAGTGATGCGTGTAATAAGAAGAATGAAACGCAAGTTAGTAACTGACTTAGATGCCGGCGATCATGTTTTCAACTAATTTTATGAATGAACAAAACAGAAAGCAATGAACAGGCAAATTGTTTCTTGAAAAAATTTTTACTCGAAAACCCATAAGTTAACACTGACTGGATCGTGGATCCGTTGCCACAAATACAATCGGTTGAGCAAATGGCAAAAATTAGCACTAAAATTATCTGTCGCATTTCCCAATTTTTCTTGAAAACTCTATCAAAAATATATAAAACGTCTATGAAACATTTATAAATACATAAATTTCCTTTCCATAACGTACTTTCCTTGAGCATAATGTGTAAAATATAAGTTTACCTGAAAATTCTTTGAAAAGGTTGTTAAGTTGGTCGCAGTTCAGAAAAGGATCGAAGCGCTCCGCCGTGAAGGAAACAATTAAGGTCGAAGTCCTCGAAGGTAAATTTCGCAGGTTAAAACTTTTCTTTGAAAAAATTCTTTCAAAAATCAAAAATTTACACTCAGAAAGAAAAGATTCCGTCCGACTTCATCGGCGCCTTGTACAACGCTTCTTCTGTTCTGCAAAGCTTGCCATATCATTTATTTTTTGTAGTCGCCATGCCGCTTTTGCTGAATGAGACCAGAAGTTGCAGATACCTGCTTTGTTGTGGTAGGTAGGTTTGCAGCTAGTAGCCTGAGGATGATCTTTGTCGGTCAAACAGGTTGCAGATATATTTTGCTGATTTCGGCGAGAGGCTTTGCGATGTGGTGGAGAAATGTGCGCATTCTTGTCTTACTTCGTGACTGGTCGATGTTTTCAAGCCATACCGCTTGCTTATAACTTTGTGGCTCTTCATGTTTTCCCAGGGTTGCATTTTATATCAGCATAATTACTTTATCTTTTATCCCACGAAACGATTTCTTTCGGTCGTAGACATACATGTATAATAAGCGTTGCAAGCTCAAAATTTTAACCTTAAATTCTCTGATTCCATATTTGGGCAAAATAATCTTCTATGCTTCTGATTGGACGGTTGCGTCGACTAAAAACCCCCAGCATGGTTCTAAACAGATAAGGAGAAGTTAGACGCTTCGGGGTTATATGCTTCTGGTCTTGTTAACTCGGGTTGCTCTAGGCTCTTTCTTACTTCCACTCGTTTCTTACAGTAAGCTCCTTTCCATCCCAGCCTCTCTTTCCCTTCTCAAGGACACTTGAGGGGCCGAGGGATTGGATTTGAGGAGGAGATAGCCACAAATTAGGTTGAAATTTATGACATCGGTGCGTGTATTTTCGTTATTGAAAAACCCAGATGCGCGCGCGATCTTCAGGTGTTAATCCTCTTCTACAGTCATTTATTATCATTTATATTATAAGCATGATTCAATATTAAAGCGAATAATAGGATTTCAAGGCCAAAAATAAAAGTTGACTTTGATTATTAACTGTATTTTATTCAGGAAAAAGGAAAACATGGCAGCAGCGAGGATTGGCTCTACCAAGGGACGGTTTGTTAACGAGAGGCAATTGTTTCATGGAACTAACCCTGAAATTGTAGAAGCTATCTGTAAACAGAACTTTGACTGGCGTCTTCATGGGAAAAACGCAACTGTTTACGGTGAAGGAAGCTATTTTGCATTAAACTCCTCGTACAGCGATAGTTACGCTAAGGAAGATACCAAAGGGTCTAAGTTCATGTTCGTGGCCAAGGTCCTCGTTGGGTCTTACACAAAGGGCCAGTCTAGTTATCGAAGGCCACCGTCAAAGGAGCCCTCGAACCCCGCAAGTGATCTGTACGATTCCTGTGTTGATGACAGGTCATTTCCAACCATTTTCGTCGTTTTCGATACTGATCAGTTCTACCCGGAATACATAATCGAGTACTCCACACCTCGACGCTCACCGGCAGCAATGGGATTAGCAGCTAGAGCGCATTACAACGCTGGCAGCCCATCCACCAGTTATCAGTCGACCACAAGCTCGAGTGTGCGTTCGCGCGTTCAAGCGCCTTATTCAGGTGTAACCAGTGGTATAGGCGGTTACACTTCCACATCCAGCACAACGTATAATTCTTCATCTGCAAATTATTATCATTCACCCATAGCAGGAATGAGCCCATATACCAGTGCCTCAAGCCAATATCAGTCTCCTCCAATGGCGTCAACAACTACTTCACACGCGTACTCTGGCGCGTCACGCAATCATTCGGTTTCACCTTCTTCATCTCGGTCATCCAGTTCTTCTAACAATAACAAATGTTTAGTCATGTGATTTCCTCCATCGTTTTTGTTGGTTTTGTGACGTTGAAAGAAGAAGAAAGTTTTACAAACTATCTCAAAACGTTAAATCGTAACACCCAAAACTATTTCTTGAACGCAGGGTTGTAGACTAGCGAAATGTTTGGGCATTCAATTAATAAGCTCACACTCTATGAACGTTCTAAATTAGAAAATGCAAGGGACTTTGTTACATATCTTGAAAAGCAGGAACGTATTCTTTTAAGGTTGAGGTACGAAACCAAGTTAATTGAGAAGTATTTAGGAGTGAAGGGGTAAATTTACTTTAAATGACTTTAATGCTAATGCCCTAACTACAAAAAGCTTGTTTCTATCGCAATGAAAATTAAGTAAAAAATTTATTTACAATATGAATTTAAGTTGTTAAAAAGTAATCATGAAGTATCTAAATTGACTTTTAATTAGTATTCTGTTGCGCGCAGACAAAAGAAAGTGATTTACTGCGTAATATAACTTGGGCCTTTGGCCCGTGTGCGTCTTTACCTTTATTTATAACGTATTTGATTTGTTGTATTAAAGATTAAGTAGTTGTCAGTAGACCTTGATCTTTGAGGGCAAAAGAATGCCAGCTTTTCTTTCCACGCACATTAATCAGTGTTACTGACTCTATAGAAACTATTTTGCGAGACTAACCACATGTAGCCGCACCCTCCTCCCGACAAAGAAAAAACGGAGAGAGGTAGCTCCCTGCCTCCCTTAAATGGCATAAAAATGTGTACAGATTACCCACTAAAGTGTGTGTTTCTCGACTTAGAATGCACGTACAACAACAAAAACAACAACAACAAAACTTTATTGATAAGAAGAAGATATAACACCGCCTGCAGCTATCAAGACTAGGTCGGACATTGCGTGCAAAAAAAGAATTTAAGGCTAACTAAGGAACGTTACAGTTCAGAGATAAATGAAATAAAAAACGAAATATTGTTAAGGACTAGGTAACGAGATAGAGAAGAAAGATTTAAAAAAATTGTAAACTGTAAAAGTAGAAACGAGTAAGCAAAGAATATATTTTTCGACATTTTTGGCTGGTTTTTAAGCTTATTAATTCATGTGGGCGTATCAATATAGTCATGATCTTTTGAATTCAAAATATTAATTTTTAGAACAGAACCTTTGTCTTCATGCAATATCAAGCAATGAAGTGAAACCCTTCAAGGCCATAGTGTTGAATTTAAAAATGGTTTTTATAGATGTTTTTAAAGTTCCGTTGACTTTTTTTTATACCTAATTGATCAAGCACTGAAGTTCCAATCGTTGTTAATAGTTTTAGCGCCTTCCTCAGCTTTGCACTCCCTAATTCCTTTGTTCACTAATCGGACTCTCTTATATTTGCTTGGACTGAAATCACTCGAGCCTAAAATTTTGAATAACAAACATGTAACCAAAATGAATATTTAACTGAAAATAATGTTTAAAACAGTTAATGAACTGAAGACACGCTTCGACAAAGAGAGTTTGGCGATGTACTTATCAGTGCTTATGCTGTGACCAAAACAGAATCTACAATGAATCCGCCCCCCTGGCGACGAAATGGAAGTCTAAAAGAGATTTTAGACAACGAAGATCATTTTATGGATTTAAAAGAGAGTTTGAATTATCTTCTGCAAAGTGAATTAACGCCTAAAGGTGGCAGGCGTAACTTTACATTCGTAGCGGAATTCTCTTTGGACGAGAATGAACTAAAGAAAGAAAAGGAGGGCAACACTCCTTGCGTATCAGTAATGGACGAAAAGATATCAAAAGATCGGACTAAGAGGAATCTACCTGAAGGAACTCGAAAGAGATGGACAAAGGCCGCTGTGTGGGTGACAGTGATTTGCATTTTGCTTTCTTTTAGCTTCGCAATCGCTTCCTTCGTGTCTTCTGGAGAGTACGACAGCTCTTCAGCTCTTGCATTGGCCTTCGATGCTGCAAACGCTCTTTTGTGTTCTCTTGTTTTACTCTGGAGACTTCACGGCACCGAAAATGGCAGTTTGGGACAGATGAGAGAAAGAATAACCTGTTTAACCTTTGCCGCGTCGTTTATATTGTGCGGAATGTTGACAACTGGTTTGTCGCTTAAAAGAATTATCGCAAGGCTCCATCCAAAAAAATCCTTTTGCCTAGCCGCCATTTTGTCAACTGGTTGTACGCTGTATTTCTTGCTGTCAGCACTGCAGTTTTGGATAGCTAAAAAACTGCGCAGTTCAGCAATGCTGGGGAGTTCAATTGACTCAGGATTGTCTGCTGCTCTCATGTTTGGACTCCTTATCAGTGACTGTACATACGTTTTTGCCCATACGGACCTCTGGTATCTGGATCATTCTATGGCGATTATAATGTCACTGGTATCTGTGTTAGCTGGAATACAGATTCTTGTAGAGGTTTTAGTTTATAAAGCTCTTCCTTTAGATGTGTTTAGCAAACGGTAAATAGAAACATAATGTATGCAATCTTCTCTACGAGTTTAGTGATAAAGTTTTAAAGCAAAGGCTACATTGACTTAGACCCGAGTCCGCATATCTCCATAACCGCAAATAGAGAAACTAATTAAAAAGGCCTAGTACGATCGCAGGCTGCCTCAGTATTTTGAACAACATAATTATTTGCAAAATTATGTGTCTCAGACTTTGGTCCAATCCTGACCAAAGTAGCCGAATACTTTTGTAATTTAGAGCAAATGCGTTCGCAATCAGACCAACATTGTTTTTTAGAGAATTAAGCGGTTAGAACATAAATTAGAATGCATTTTACAATTGAGTTTAAAGGAGTCTTAAAAATAAGTGAGTTCACGGTTTTACGAGGATTAGTAAAGTTAAAAAATACTTAATCTTTTCAAATTGTTTTCAAAATAACGCGCTCTTTAGCCGTTTCTTAACTCTAATTAATTGAATAATATAATATAAGAACTATCACTTCGTTCATACTATTATTTAAGTACTTTGAGAGAGGGCGTTTTTTTGACTATTTTATTTTTTGGCAGATGGAAACCCCAAGACCGCCTTTCCAGGCAGTATTTGACATTTGAACATAATTATGACAATCAATGATAATGATAATAATTGATGTCTACTCGCGTTCTGATTGGTTAGAAACTCCTTTGTTTGCTATACCTGTAAACTTTGTACAGGAAACACAAAGACAACACGTCAAAGCCCGAGTCACAGGAAACGGTTCGCATCATAATACATTAAGTAAGACTGAAGTTGAACTTGTCAAGAATAAGCAACTGGAGCTGGCAAGTACCATTGACCCTTTTAAAAACCACTGACATCCGCTTTGGTCGTTTTTGGTTCATATGGACCCATGCATATATTATGACCGACAATCCTTCCTGGGTTAGCTTGCCATTTAAGCTATTTAGATGGCAATCAGCAAACTTGGCGTGGATAGATCTTTCCACTGGTACCTCATTTAGGAAATTTTGACCAATCCCGACAGAGTTACAGACAAAAACTAAGCAACATTTGGGGAAGAATCGACTGACAATTTGGCTATTTACCTACTACTCTTTGCATTTGTAGAGTAAATGTGTCCCATTCTTGGAAGAAAATCTAGCCAAAATTCTATGCGAAAGAGAGACAACAAAATGAGCAACAAAACTGGCTATAAAAAGAAAGGCAAATGGAAAAAGAAGAAAGCGAGAAAAAAGTCCAAATTTGGCTTATGCGCATGCGCGAAAAACAAAAAACGGTGCTTCCTTTTGCTTCCTTAACGTTGGAAATCTGTTACTAAGCCATCCCCATGCTAAGACTGCTAAGGCCCGTTTCAGAGGCCGATATTTTCATGAACCGAACTTATTTCGAATTTAGGCCGACCAAAATCATTTAGACCGGCTGAATTGATTCAGACGGCGATCTTAATTGCCGCTGAACTAAGTTCAGCACGCGAAAAATGCTCATTTCGGTCAAACTGCTTACAAAATACGTTATTATAATTTATGCATTAGGTTCGGTTCATGAAAAGTTCGGTGTCTGAATCAAAGGCGTTCCAAAGTTGCTCCAATTCAAAGGCGAAATTCACGGCTAGGCTATGCGAAAAGAACGACTAAGCCGTTCCAAATTGAAACAGGCGTTCCTAACTGATTCAGACGGCGAACTTTTCATGTACTTAATTCAATGTATTAGGTTCGGGTCATGAAAAGTTCGGCGTCTGAACCGGGCCTAACTGTAAAAAAAGGATCGCGGCCTCTGGGGACGAGATTGCCACAATTCTCCCCCCAATTCTTTGTGGTAGCGGCTTCAGTGACTGGGCCGCCTGTTTTGTGTCGAACTCAGACTATAGGACTGTTTTGAAGACGATTCCCGTGCAACTTCGTGATAGCCAATAAAAGAAGCGACAGCTTCCCCAAAACAGACCCATATTGCAATCCGACAAAACACCGAACATTCTAAAGCCACTACGTGCAAACGGACGCAACATCTCCCAACATTTTTAGGCCAACAATGGGGCCAGGTGTTAACTAGCACGACACATACCAGATGCCAGTGCTGGACCCAGACCTTGAGATGGGGGGGGAGGGGGTGGCGGTCATCCAGACCCTGAGATAAGGGGGGAGCCCAGTCTTAAAATAACGAGGGGGTGGCCCCCCCGGCCCCTTCCCTGGATCCGCCACCGCATTCACACAACAAAGAAATTCAAGCCAGTCCCTTTCCAGTTTCATTAATTTATTTTAATTTAATTCCAACAAACTGCGCCTCTACGCTAATAACAGTTTCACGTATTACTAAGAATTATTCCGGTGAATTCTATTCTTAACATTAACAATAATTTAACATGTTTTTGAACCCTCAATAAATAACTAACAGACTTGTGGAAATAGTGCGGTTTTCAGTTGCAAGGCAAAACACTTTCAATCGCAAAGCTTTATGACTGGTTGAAGAATTCTTGCGCCACTTTCTCAGCCAATCAGAAGCAATTAAAGCTCAGTAAAGCCAACGGCGGCTCGTTTGATTGTGTTTTCCCGCTCTCAGTGGCTGGTTACTGGACTCATATCGTGCCAATTGGTTTATTCAATTTTCTTTGCCTCCGTTGATTGGCCAGTGGAGTCTCCTAAAAACCGCTCTATCTTTTGGCGTAATAACTTCAAGACTCTTTCATTAGGGTTTCAAACTCTTCAACTTCACATTCAACTTCGAAGACGCAATTTCTATTAATGAGCCTTAACAAAATCAAATCAAAGTTTGATGTAGTTTAGTCACCTTCGAGACCAAAAGTTTTCCAGCTCTTTTTTTTTACCCGCCGTCTGCTTGCAGGCTCTTCATGGAAGTCAACGGGATAAATAACAAACCCGCACAATATCATTATCGCGCATTTGCTTCTACAATTCCCACATTTATTTTGTAAGTGTATACAGAGAAATCCCTCTATGATTAACGCCTACGAGCTTACGATTTGGTATTCGTAACTTACAGCCTAAGAAGGGTTTCTTGTCAATGGAAACAACAGAAAAAGGCCAGATCTTTAACTGTCACTCCAAGAACTGACCACAATATCACGCCTGCCTCTCTGTCCATTTAGAGCAATATATCATAAATAAAAATGACTCAAAAACTCTTCTTTACCTATGCTGCTCCAGGCATTGACGGAGAGAGGCGGGGCGAGTGGATGGGGAAGGGGGTTCAGCGAAAGAAAGAACAGTTTCCTGGTTTCAAACGGGATGCTTGAGGGGACACTCCCTACCAACTCCCACCAATATTAAGTGGATCGATCGTAATAGTTTCTTTCGCACTCTGCTGTTTTGACTTTGCTGGCCCACGGTTTGAACGCACGAAAGCACTCTTATTCATAACTTCCGTAGTACTGAACTTTGTTTACAACTCACTGGTCCTAAACGGTTCAGGATCAGTACGAGATCATATTTCTGATCTGCGGCGCGACGGAATAAATCTAACCAGTAACGTTCCGCTAGCTACTATTCCACAAAAGAACGAGAAATATTTCAGTTCATAACTATGTTGTTAGTTCCGATATATCTCTGACTTCTCGTCCTCGAGCGAGACAATATTAATGAACTCTCCGTAAACTTGAAACTGAGAACGGCACAAACAAAACAATTTTTAGTGTACATCTTCGCTGCCGTAACAGCCACTTGTCTATTTTTGAACGAGAATTCAAAACGTACCTTAATTCGCAATCACAGCAAAATTTTAAAATACACTGAACTTTAGTGATCCCAGGACGTCCAAGCTCAATCTGTATTTTGCTTGCTAGTCAGGCTAGTTTGTTCGCTTGTTTGTTTGTTTATGATGTTCCCTCAAATCAGACCAAAATCAATCAAAAATTTTATTAGTGTGTCAAAGCTTCTAGCGCACCACAAGTGGTTCACTAATCGGGGACTCAAAGACCCTTCGGTGATTAAGTTTCTCAGCCTGAGTAAAGAAAACCGTTCTGTCAGCCCCGGTTCACCCACGTAAGCACTCAACGCCGACCTTTATCGTAGGAACGACATTATATAAATGAACTCAATTGGTTGATACATTCCAAAATTTTTTCACGAGCGTAGAAAAAATTGGGAGGGCTATTTAGCTGCTGTTACGCCGGATCTTACTGACGGTCCGCCGAAGATCAAGGAAGTCCACTTACGACACTATAGTGGACGTTAGGAATCCAAAAGTATCCGACTAAATTCAAGCATGCCAGAACCGGTAATGTAAAGACCCTCCGGCTGCCTGTTTTTTTTTCTTTTTGTTTTTTCGTTTGTTTGTGTTTTTGTTCTGTTCATTAAAGTTAATGGTTTGATCCATAAATGACCCGATATTCTATAATATCAGCATTCATGCCAACTACGACTGACCGGATCATTCGGAGATCAATACGATCCGAAATACGACGATTCTATATTGCCAACGAACACCAAACAGCCGCAAATATAAAGTTGGTCATCGGGCAATGACTGACTAACTGAACTGTGGTCGGACATGATGACTGGACGAAATCTTTGCAGAAGGACAAAATATACCTTGAGCACATGCGAAATGTTGTACCAACTAATTAACCTTGTTACAGAGATATATTGAAGTTATCAGCCTGGCTGCAAATCCCGAACCTAAAATGTTTAATTTGCGTCAAAGGGGCATAATTTGTCCTTAACCGACCACGTATTTGTATCGTCCGACAAAATAGTGACTCGTGCACTACCATTAGTCATTTGAACAAGAGAGAAAAAATATTGGGAGCTTTAACAACTGTGACTTTATGACCACTACTCAAATAGTGTTCAGGGGAAAAACCTGTAAGAGCAGGCTTAAAATAAGGGGGTCGCTTATTTGCACTAAGTCAGACGAAACCACTTTTAGAGTTTAACCTGGCAACCATTAGCAATACCATGACGCTAACAGTGTTAAGCAAAATTAAGTTCCCTTAAATATAAGATTATTTTTCTCTCTAATCCCAACCTTCAACATTTCAACCTAGTAGAGGCTATTAAAGTGACATTTATAGCACTTGAAGTTAGAAGAAAACGCCTTCTACCGTGATAATTTACTTTCTTACTTTTTCCTACCATCAAGCACACTACACAGAGGGTTTTTTAAAACTAGGATGGGCGGTTAGGTTCATCAAGCTTATCTCATATCTTTTTATCTCAAAATCACGTGAACCACGTAACCGCCATTTTTGAAAGGATCTAGTCCCGATTTCTCGAACCGTCTCCTTTTAAAGAGGTTCCGATAACTCGAACTATAAAACCTAACTTCCCTTCACCAGTCAAACACTTAATTTTACCTTCGATTTTTCAAACCTCTCGGTAAATTTGGTACTGTATACACCTATTTCAATAAAGGTTGCTTTGGGAATCGTGCTTTTGTCTTTGAAAGCCATTGTTTGGTGTCCACTCAAGCAAAGCATTGCATTGTATTCTGAGTTTCCATGACCAAAATCCCAAAGCAAACTTTATTGAAATAGGTGTATTACTCATCAGTTTTGCACTAATGTTGCATACCATTTACTTAGCACACTACCTTTGATTTCATTTTGTACTGGATCAAAAAAGTCGGGTAATACTGATCCGGGTCAAAAAGCACATATATGGTGGGCTTATCTACATTGTCCACACAGGAATCGTGACGCTCTTCCTTGGACGTGGGATCTTCCTTATACGGGGGTCGCTTCATCGACGGCTCACCTTTAGCAAACGACCCCACCAGTACCTCGGCCAGAAACATGTACCGCACGGCATCAGAGTCCTGCTGACAGTAGAGATTGCTAAGGATTGCTTCTGCGGTGAAGTAGGCGCCTTGTCCGAAGGAGGATGCTCGATTCTCATCCATGGCTCGCCAGTCGATGTTCTCCTCGCAAATGGTGTCAACAAGTTGGTGGTCGGTTCCATGAAAAAGAAGCTTTTCATTTACTGGGATGTCTTTGGTTCGGAATCGTTTCTCTAACTTTTCTTTTTTCCTGCAATAGAATGGACAGATCCTTGAGACAGACTCATGGCAGTTCAGTGGCAGTTCTCCTTTTTTTGTAGAGAGCAGAGTAGCTAAAACAGCAGAGCAGAGCACATCTGCTATATGAATTTACAAAAGCAATCAAACATAAGAACGGGTGGTATAACTTGCCCGTTTTACCAGACCAATACTAAACCGCTTTATGTGTGTTAGCGATGTGAATTACCACAGTTTCGCCTTATGCAAGCTAAGGGAATCGAAGACAGTCCTGGATTCCGGGTTCCCTCACATTCGGGGCACCCAACGACGATTTCCTCCTAAATACATTGATAAATGTTTTAGGCTATCCAGAGTACTTTTAGATGTCTAGAAATGCATTATAAGCGACGCTATAAAATCTGTGTCTGTTCGGTCATCCTAGGGGAGCTTGAATTTTTTTCGAAGTTTCAAGGGCACGAGTATTATTTTCCCGAAAATTTTAGATGCAATTTCCCGAATTACGAAAGTGAGACACTCTGATTTCTCTCTCCATTGCATTTTTAAGTCCGAAAATTTTAGGTTTCCTTTCCTCTACGAAAAATAGCCTAACTTGGGAAAGTGAAATATGAACTGAATTAACCTCCCGTCGGAAAAATATTAGATATTAAGCTCCGAAAATTGTACATGAGTGGAACGGTCGTCTAGAAATTTCTAGCCATCCTCAAGTAATAGAAAATTCTAGGCAATTTTCCCTTCTTCGAACAGATATTTCACAGGAAACAGTCGTTGGGTGCCCTGTTACATGAGGCGACAGGGTAGGAAAAGCAGCAGAGAACAACAAACAAACGAACAGTAAAACATGTACAGTAATTTACCTTTTGCCGGGCCAATAATGAGACGCTTAGAGCATAAAGCAATGTTATTTACGGATTTGAAAATGAAACACAATTACACAAAATGAGCTTTATAGTACCTCGAATACTTATCCCACAGAAATGTGTTCTGGACTCGTTCAATGGCGACAATAACTGCCTTGTTCTCCGACATGGATTGCCTGAAGAGACTCTCAGCCAGTTTGTATTGGTGGGAGATTTCAGGGAGGGGTACTCGATTATACTCCTGATCTTCAGGGACATCTGTCCATTGAGGTGGGACGCCGCGGTTTGGTGTGCTACCCGTGGTGAGGGGTGATTGAGGCTCCAAGGGTACAGGCAACTCCAGTGGTCTATAAGAAACAAAGGGTGAATAATATAAGGTAATAAATTCCATAAAACTGATTGGAAAAGTCGCTCTCGGGCGTGTACTATCAAATCATCGATTATACGACGGAAAACGGAAATTTGTGGTCTCGGTGGATACAGTTTAGCCTCAACTTGCCAACGAAACAAGCACCTCACAGTTATTATATTTTAATTAACTTTACCGACGGGTTTTTTTTTCTGTCTCAAAGATGATGAAAGTCACAAAACACCGACTTCCGTAATGTGGACACTCGAGTCCCTTTGCCCTTATCAACGTGGTTCCACTGTGTTTTGCACATTATTATGTAGGCGCAAATAAGAGGGGTGGCCGCGAGGAACGAGGACGGACGATCGCGAGGAGTCCTAGCCTCCACTAATCACACTGCTTATATATCTTGAGGCCCACATTTCCCATGTGCCTGATATACGGGCTTAACGTGTGAACCCTTTAACCCTAATATCAGCATGCACATTTCTCCTTAATTTCCTCTTTTTGACGGGGAGAATTCCATCAAGACCCTTTTTATATATTGTGATGAACTTTTTTTAAGGTTAATCAGAAATCTAAGGGGAAACTAATTGTTGGTCTCTTTTACTAGGGTTTAAAGGTGATGTCTTTGCTTATGGACTAGCGTCGCAGATGAACAATATTTATTTACAGTCATATGAAGGATTCGTGCTATTCCTTACCTTTGAAGTGCCTGTACTTCTGACCCTGATCTAAATAAAGGTCTTCTCCTCACTCTTATCGTTGAAATTGGTTGCTTGGTGTTCTGCTGACACATGGGCGAATGGCGAAACAAGATTTTGTGCATATCGCCACCAGCTTTAAATCTGTAAAACGACTTTCCGCTGTTGTATACTGATTCTATTTCTTGCTGTTTGGCCATGCCCTAGAAGAGACCGTGACGAGTGATGGTAAACCCTCTTTTTTCTTCCTGAGGGCCGAATAGTTACCATGATAGAGGGTCCACTGTACTACTCGAGGATTGCAGCTCGGCACTCGGGAAGCGGGGGGGAGGGGGAAGGGGGAACTAGAATGCGCTAAGGTTGTGGTGGACTGAGAGAGGCTTTCAAATTTTCTTGAGCGTTCAAAATTAAAGATGGCGGCTACAGTCGAAAAATACAGAACGCTCGCCGCTCGTTCGCCCTCACAATAAATTCGCCTGCGGTGCGTGCTAGGGAAGTTGTCTTAATTAATATTTTTTGGCCGTAAGCAATACAAGAATCGCCCCATGTAAGGGAATTTGGATTCCGGAATCCAGCAAGTTTTTCTTGTAGAATCCAGAATCCTGGGCCTTGGAATCCGGACTACAGCTGAAGGAATACGGATCCTACTAACGATTGGAGTCTGGAATCCAGGTTCCACCAACAAAAATTCCGGAATCCAGTACCTGTGATCCGGAATCCACCGCGTGGAATTCATAACCCAAGACTTTCTGGGATTCCCTTATATTGCCGGGGGACGATTCTTCAAGAAGCTTGTACTGTATAGACCGTACAGGAGATTTCCAGCCGCTCCACTGCAGTTAATTCTGTACTCCAGCGAGCAATCTCTCTTGGGCGCTCTGGCGGCGGGGCGGGAAAAAGAAGGACAAATCTGACAGCTCAGTCCACGGGGAGCCACAGGGGAGGTGGAATTCCAATTCCAGAGACGTAGTTGCAATTAGCCTGCGAAAACATCCGTTTCTCCTCGCTCTTCGCCGCGCGAAACGTCCCCAGCGACGAAGAGCGAGGAGGAACGGATGTTTTCGCAGGCTTTTAAAGTTGCAATTACAAGCTCTCCTTCCTTTTCCCGCCACGCTGCCAGAGCCCCCCGGAGAGCTTGCTCACAGGCTATTAATTTTGCCCCTCACAGTTGAATTCCATGACTACAAGAAAGGTTCGGCTTGAATTGTAGCCCACGGACGCACCAAATCTTTGTTTTTTCTCGCGCGGTCTCAAGTCACACTCATGCAATCGCCGAGAGGAGACTGGACCCCATCTGCGCTTGACGATCATGCTCGTAACGTGACCTTTTCCCTATTGTAATCGATACAGAAAGCTAATACAGAATTCCTTGAAGTTCGTATATGGCCGGGTGCACAAGGTCAGCATAGAAGATGAAAAGGTATAAAAAAGAAAGCACTTACCATAAGATATTGGTAAATTTATTGTTGAAAGCTACCAGAATTCATATTTATATAAACACGATAACTACTGTATCTCGATCCTACGATTTGCTACACTCCTGTCCAGTCATCCCTCCCATCTTTCGATCAGATTTATTTTCAGCTAACTAGCACGGCCAAAATTTTATACTTTAAATTTTATACTCAGGACGATTGCGATATTGATCGTATTGTTTCGATCTTTCTAAGCAGCCTACAGTGGAACCTCGATAATGACGAACCTCCGACGACCTCGGTATATCGAACGATTTTGGTTACTCCAGTAATGGAAATACATTTTAACGATATAACGAAACCTCGTTATAGCGAACAAATTTTGCCTGTCCCTTGGCCTTTTGTTATATCGAAGTTCCACTGTAGCAATACATGTAGATCAGGGGATGGAGTCGATTGTCTGTGCAGTGTATCTGGTTGTGTAGGACAAATACTCGGTAGTCGATCACGTTTAGAACACGACGGAGGGGGGGGGGGGGGGGGGGAAGGGGGGTGGGATTGCCCTTTTTTACCTAAAGGGGTGGGGGGCAGGTGAAGAGGTTGGGGTTCGGGGTGGTTGTGTATTAAACGGGGAGTTTATTTACGTGTTTTGCTCGGTTGATGCACATTCAATGGGGCAGCAACATGCAATGGTGTTTTGTTTTACTAACTTGTTGGGTGTTGTGTAAAAAATGAATATATACAAATCTAGTGTGTATTGATTAAGTCTGACATCTGTCGGTTTTCTTTTGGTTTTATGTAGATGAGCGTTGTAATGGTTGAAGTGGGGGTGGGTGGGGGGGGGGGGTGGTTGTGGTGGGGGGGGGTTTGGGTGAGAGGGAGAAAGGCGCGGTGATAAACCAGCGGGAGAGGGGGGGGGGGGGGGGGGGGGGGGGGGGAAGGGGGGAGTGAACTCCCTAATTCAGCCAAAAGGGATGTGGGCAGCTGATCAGGGTGTGGCTCGAGGGCCTTGAGTAGTAAACAGGGTATGTAATTTCACTATTTACCGTCTACGAGCGGCCTACATGGGTGCAGGCACCTACAATGTTTTTTCATAAAATCTAATTTCTGGGATTGAAATCAACCAACAGTGCAGCCAGCAAGGTTCAAAATGCTTAAATCACTACCAAATTATGTAGATATATGAAACATTTTATCACTGAAACTCTATGTGCAGTGGATTCTGCTGGGGACTCACTATGCCAAAGAAAAAAAAATGGATTCCTCTTGGGACTTGCTATGCAGTGGTTATTACACCAGCATAGAGGGGGTATAAGGGGGTGAGATGTTGAATTCTCCACAGAAAAAGGAATAATGAGAAAATCTGACATACTGCATCAAAATTATAATAAAATAAGTAAAACAAAACAAAAACAAAAATTATAAAACCATCAACTGTTTAGTCTTCTTAAATCACAATATTTCAGGGTTAAATAGAATTTTCCCAAAACTGCAACTACACCCTCACGTCACCCTCAACATACCATTGGTTCAGAGCCATACTCATTCCAACTTTTGGTCTCATCCTGCCAGTACCAAATCCACTGAGTTGATAGAGCATGATCAGTAGGCAAAACCGCCGACTTAGTAGACAGGCGTCTCAAGTGAACATCTCCAAAACTGGTTGTAGCTTTCATATCATCAAAGTTTATTACAGTCTCCCCATCACCAGGATCAATGCTGTGCAAGAAGAACAAATACCGTATCATTCCGAAAATAAGCCCCAGGGCTTATATTTTTTAAAGGCCCTTTTTGAGGGGCTTATTTTTGGAGGGGCTTATATTCGGAGGGGCTTATCTACGGAGGGAAATTTGCGTCTCAAAATTGATTGGGCTGGCCTTATAGCTAGAAGTAAATTTACCGTTTTTTCTTTGTTTCACTGTGTATTTGAGGGCAGTTTTCGAATTACAAGACCCAGGGGGGCTTATATTAATTTTGGAGAGGCGATTTAACGAAGGGTTTTTTAAGTTACCAGTTTGGGGGGCTTGTATTTGGAGGGGCTTATTTTCTGAATTTTACAGTTAATACATATAGAACAATCAAGGTTGTAACCCTCTAAGGAAAAAAACAAACAAACAAAACAACAGCCAACAATTATAAGTCATGCAGTGTAGTGTAGATTATAGTGGGGTTAACATTAGCTTGGATTCACGCGAGCATGGGATCCACTGGTAACTTTTTTCTTAGTCTGAATTGATTGACCACAATGTAGGGCAGAGCAAAATACTTTCAAATGCCCATTTACTAAAAAAAACAACAACAATCAGTGATTTTGTTACCTCTGCATCCTGCATCCCTGATGCATAAAAAGTGCCAAAGATGCAAAATAATTATTCATGGCATGCGTCCCATTTAATGCAAAGATCGATCAGTTGATCTGAAGATGTTTTTGTAGAATACCGAGTTTGTGTGATTTCTGTGGCTGTTCTTGCAGCTGTTGTTTAACGATAGAAGGAGTTTTTTTATTCAACTAAACTGTACTAACGAGTTTTGATCAGTTTTGGAGTTTGTCTTCAGATTAATTGTCTGCATGGTTACATAAAGGCCTCCAAAAAAACCTGTTTAGGAGTCATTATTTTTTTGAACTGGGACTCAATGGTTCTGCACTTGGACTCATAATTTTTTTTTGCAAGATGAGTCGCAGCACACACCATAACCATTTGTAACAAAATCACTGAACAATGTTTTCGCAAATAATACAGACACATCTCATTTTGTTGTACTTTTTCTCCTATTTCAATAATTACAGTATGTCTGCCAGCCACATATATTTTCTATAGATCTACGTGTATCTATCTGTACATGTAGGACCATGCATGACCATATCCAAATCTAGAACTGTTTTTGATACAGATACAAATTATTAAACATGTGCACTTACAGTACATCTGGTGGTGTTGATATCATAATATCTTCCATCCTTGCCACAGTTACGTTAACGTCACAGAACTGCCTCTCAATAGCCTCATTTTCACTCTCTGTAAAAGACTTCCAAGAGTTGCCAATCCCGCTCTCAGTAATAGAATCCTTGTACCTGTACTGCCACATATAGGGTCTATTGCGGTGTGATTGGTCACACAGAGACTGTTTGCTACACTGACCCAGCAGATTATCCACACATATGTAATGTGGCTGGCATGTTGCTGATCTCCTCTCACGTGCAACTTGTACTGTCAAACGAGACAAAGGTAAAATTGGCATTGTTTTGACTGTGTAGGTAATAAATTATTTATTTAGCCTGTGAGCACGCTCTCCGGGGCGCTCTGACGGCAAGGCGGGAAAAGAAAGGAGAACTTGCAACTACGTCTCTGGAATATGAACTCCACCTCCAATTCCCCTGTGGCTCCCTGACAACTGAGCTGTCAGATTTCAGCCCAACAATGCGAAGTGGAAATAAGTGCGAATGTAAGCAAACATGGAAAAATATGTGCCAAGGGTAATGATATATCCGCCAATCAGCATTTTTGCATAGACTTTTTCGATGCAGATATTCAAATTCCAGCGATGAAGTTGTAAGCTCTCCTTCCTTTTCCCACCCCAACTCCAGAGCACCCCAGAGAGCGTGCTTGCAGGCTATTATTTAGTCTGACACTGCAACCTCTTTTCAATAACATCAAGCTACAAGCACAATTGCACTGTAACAGTGATTTTAGGGAATATGAAACAGATAATGTAATGCAATGAATTTGATTTATTATGTTTGAAGCTTAATAAATTGAAAACCCTGGTGAATGTGAAACGTATTATTTTTGATAATAATTTACAGTTATTAGGTCCAGCAAAAGACACTTGTTTCTCATCCGGGTTTCTAAAACAAAGAAAGCAGGCGGGTACTTTTTTGATATTTCCCTTTTATTATTATTATTATTATTATTATTATTATTATTATTATTATTATTATTGCCAAACGAATGCTTTCTTTACAAATTATTACCCCCCAAAGAATTAGTTGACGTTCTTAGTCAAATATTAACACATGAAATTTCAAATTCATATTGACTGTTAAACTCAAATGCAGTTTGTTTTGATGTGTTTTTAACAGTGACTTGTGATGCATCATACAATATATCTCAATAGGAAGGGTGTATTAAAAAATGCCAGTACAGGAATCTTCTTTTTATGAAAAGAAAATAAGGCCATGTTCAGATTTTTGCAATGACCAAGTAATAACAAAAAAGAGAGGCGGCCCAAAAATAAATCATTAGGGGACAAGAAACATTTGTTCTCATTTTTAAATTGGCCTTAGTATTCAGTCTTACATACCAGCTGGGAGCTCTGATATGGTGTTTTTAGGTGAAAGCAGGTCACGCACCAACAGTGCACTCAAAACCGCTTGGGGTGGAACTTTGGTCAAATTGTATCTGCCTAATACCAATTTAGCTGCTGGTGTTTCAAGGCTGGATTTGTGGCCCAAGGGACACTCATCTCCTCTACGGCAGTTTTTCATCACAAAATACTTGCAGATGTGTATACCATTGCATCTTAAACCCCGTTGACAGGACCGACTGTTGTATTCAAGGCAAACCTCAGGGACTGATGCAGCAATCAGAATGCGCAGCTGCTCCTGGGAGTGTTCATCAAGTCTCAGTTGTCTTGTGATGTTTTTATTGTGTGGGCTTCTTAAATTATGGCTGTGGCTGTGCCTGCATTTTTTACCAAATGGACAGATGCCGTTAGCAAGATAATGCTTGCAAACATGATAACGGAAGCACTTGGGATCTCTACAGCCCCTCTTGGTCAACAGATAACGAAAACAAATGCTTGCCTTGGGATTAAATGCTCTGATAGCTTCAATTTCCCCAAGCTTGTTCTCGATGGTTACAAATCTGTTTCTGTTCTTTTTAAACCATGCACCAATGTCAGTTATCTCTGGTGGAAACAATTCCTTGTTCTCAGAAATCACTGAAAATGGTACTTGGCCATTGTGCTCTCTTAGAATGAATTCAAAAACCAAATTTGCTGTTGATTTATCTGAGTGAGCAGTTTCTGAGTTGGCCGTACTCTGGTCAGATATGGAGGAACATTCACTGCCCTGAGACAAAGAGCTTGCTGCATTTGAAGGTCCAAACCAGTCATCAAAGAAAATGTCATCAACTTGTGAAAGCAAGTCATTGGTGAAGAGATCATCGACTGCGGTATCTGCCCCCTGCCAGTCATCACCAGAGAAGTCAATCAAATTTTCCTCCAAATCTTGATTGGCAGTGATTTCTGGAATGAAGTTTTCTTGGCATAGGCCTTTAGGAAGCTGTGACTTCTCACTTTGCATGGGAAAATAGCCTTCCCTCTGTTTTCCATGATCCTGGAACCCTTTACCCTTGGTAGACCCATGTTCACTTGGATTCAAAGTGAACTTGGAGGTGGGATAAAGATCTGGTTTCTCATCTATGTCTTCATTATCCGAGTCAGAGTCCGGACTTTCCTCTCCATCATCCTGGGATTCTCCAGTAACTTGTTGTCCTTCATGTTGACTGGCCTTCTTTTTTCTCCACCTCGGCCTTTTGCGTTTTTTCTTTTCTGAACCTTTCTTCGAATCTTGCTGCTGTTGTACATCAGATGTAGTCTGCTGAATTAATGGTAAGGACATGAGAGGGGGTACTTGTGGAGCAGGTTTGTTTAGACGTGTTTGCTGCAAGGAAGACAAAGAAGTACCCAAATTATTTTTGTCATCTTCAAAGCCTCTTTGCTTCTTGGGAATTAGGATGTTACAGAGCACTATGTTTGTCTTGGATGGCTGAGGCACCAACTTGTATTGCCTAAGAATTCTCAAGTTATGGTAATCCTGAACATTATGTGACAAGCCACAGTTACAAGCAAATGGATTTCCTTGCCATGACACAATTGGATGAGAGCATATGTGTAGATGAGGACACCCCTTTGAAAAGCACTTGTTGTCAAGGTACTTCAGGCACACTTGAGGCAAGCTGTTGGCAACAATGTTTCTTATAGTGCCACTGGGATGCTTGGCAAAACCCAACTTCTCTACTTTCTTTATGTTACCTTCATCATGGAAATCATGGGAGAAACCACAATCACCTGCACACTTCCCCTCCAAATATCCCTTGCAGATATGCCAAAATGGGCAAGGAGACTTGGAACAGGTTCCCTTTGAGGCATAACTCAAACATATATTTTCCTTCAAATGTAAACGAGCACCTAACACTTCACCATCATTATTCTCCAAAACACTGATCCTGGGATTCAGATCTGACTGTGCCTGAACTTGAAGCCAAATCTTTGCATCCATCGTCTGTTCAGGCGAAGAAAACTTTTTGGCAAGAGGTGATGGATGGTGTAGCAGATCTGATAACGTGGCAAACCCCCCCTTGCTACATATATAATTAATTACTTTATCGAGAACAGCCCCGGGGGCAACTGTGCCTTGTTGAAATCTTGTTGAAGCATTTGACAATTGCGCTGATTTGTTTGCTTCTTCTTGAATCAAACCGGAAAGGGTAACTGGCTTTGTAACGGTTTTTGCCTTGGAAGGTGTGTTATTTTTACCGCTACCAAAATTTTCGGTTTTGGTATCGCCAGCTCTAGCTTTCTTGCTTGATCTTTCGTTTTCTTTCGGCCGCCCCACGCCTACCATCTGCTTTTCTCGCTGAGATAACTCCAACAGTCGTTTGTTATCCTCAATGGGTTTCTGCTGCTTGGGAAACAAAATGTTACATCGCACCACCTCCATTTCTAATTTTCGCGGAGGCCTAAATCCGTGCTGTTCAAGAATGTTCTTGTTATGAGAATCGGCGAAGTTGTGTGAAAGTGAACATTCTGTTTCACAAGGAGCTGCCTTAACTTGACTTGGACATACATGTAGATAAGGGCAATTGCTGGTCAGACATTCATTTTTCAAGTAACTAAGGCAAACCTGAGGCAGGCTCCCAGCGACGATACCTCTCACAACGTGACTAGCTTTCTTTTCAAATCCTAGCTCGGCTGCCTTTTCTTTGTTATCATTGTCGTGAAAATCGTGAGTACGCCCGCAATTTCCTTTGCATCTTCCCTCAATAAACTCTTTACAAATATGCCAGAATTTGCAGCGCTTTCCGGACTGACAAGCGCCTGTGGTAGTATATTTCAGGCACATCTGTTTTTTCAGGTCGATTCGGATGCCAAAGCCTTTTCCATATTGGTTTGTAGTCATCACAAGCCGGGCGTGATCAGAATCAAAAGAACCTGAATGTTTCTCCATTTCAAACCAAAGCAACACTGAAATCGCATTATACTTTTTAGCCAAAGGTGACGGATGCTGTAGCAATTGCGAAAACTCTGCGAATCCACCAATTCCACAAATATAATTGTAGACTTTCACTGCCGACACATCTGATTCAGCCATTGTTAGACCAACCTTGCGAAGTTCCAAGAATTCGACAATTTTTACCCCAAGCAGGGTATAGAAGGGTCAACCGGAAGTAAAATGCACGAAAACACACACGCACAAAAAGAGTGGACATTGGTCTAAGAAGTTGATCGGATGTTGGTTGGATGTTTAAAAAGGTAATGTAAGATTATGGCGGTGTACAGGCGTTTTGATTTTAATTCCTGGCCATTCCTGGCCAAACGTACAGTATCGCTCTGACGCTTGACGCTACACTACAATATGGATACATAAGGTAGTGGCTGATTTTACGAAAGCCGCTGTACAGCGAAAAGGCGGCGCTAGCAGCCATGTTTTCGGTTTCCTGCAGTGTTGTTCAGTTGTGCGTTGTTTCTTTCACTTTCTTATCGTTTCAAACGTCTTAGAAAATAATTGTCTTAATGATTCAGGTATAGAAGCAACGAAAGCATATTTTTAAAATGCCGAAAGTTGTTTCGCGCAGCATCGTGTGCTCCGACACAAAGGATAAAGAGGAATATAATCAAGGTGCAACGAGTGTCACCGTTTACCACTGTCTTTGTGGACAGATGGCTTTGATCTTGGGTAAGATACAGATTGTTTTACGTAGAACAGCCTTATTTGGTCTCTTTTTTGTGGCTAATAATTCGTTAGATTCACTTTTACGTAAAAATAGCCGATGCACTGTCGTTAAAATGTTTTCGATTTCTTTGAATTTTAGAGTAAATGAATTGAGCTACTGTAAGACAAATTATGTATCTCTGTAACAGAGTTTGGGAAGAGTTCTTAAATCAAAAAGTAGTTCAAAACCTTAACTTCATGCCGGGTTTGAATATTGGTTGGAATTCTCCCAACCCCTCTTGTGTTTACATGTACATGAGGATGTGTAAATGTTTAAAAAAAAATTGTTTTTGCTTATGACGATTATTCCCCAAATCACTGTTAATGTTACATGTATCTCATTATTTCCACCTTCTTTGAAGAACAGTAATCTTTTCTGTCTTTTAGATATATCGTAAAATAGAATAACCCTTTTTTTCACTTCTATTAAGCGGTCACCTTCTCAAGACCAAAAAACCAATTACTTTTGATACTTTTAACACTGATTTTTATTAAGCGTTCACCTCTATTAAGAGGTTGGGGTCACCTTTTCCATTAACCTTCTTAGTTGTCAAGATACAAGTGCAATAGAATACACTGTACATAGCATTCACTGGTCTTTTGCTCTCTTTCTTTAAGGTCAACTTGTCATGTGATACAACACTGCCACCATCTATTTTCTTTCTTTAAAAAAAAATGATGGGCCAAACTTCTTTAGATACATTAATGCAGGTTTGACTGTATAATATTGAAGGAAAAAAAACTGCAGTGATGTATAGTCGTACAGCTGTGACATCTCTAATACAATTATACACCCCTGGTTGTCACTTGTGGCACTAAGATTTCTACATACAGTGTTCCAGCCAGGGTGTGCCATTGTGTGAATCCTGCGAAAGATCGAGAGATGGCCCCCACCAAAAGCATTCAAGGGCCATCATGGCCCTTTCCTTCGTTAATTCCCTGGGCTTAAAAATGTCTCTGATACTTCAACTACAATAATTTTCCAATTAAACGGAATTTTTAATCTAAAGAACAACAACTCCATACCTTTGTACACAACGTGAAAATCAATCGATGAATCTTCTTGAGTTTACCTGATTTACTGTGAGTGGTCTGGAGACCACTGAGCCTCGACTTGGCTTTTGTAATATCGCAGGAGCTAATGGGTATCCATCATGGTGTCTCAAATAAGGATAAACCTGACAAACGCATCTTCGAGGTTTATCGAAAGTTTTTTCTCAGTAAGTAACAAAAAAGTGGATGGAGGCGAAGCAGTTCAGAGGAAGCGAAAGGAAGCAGATCTTGACGGTTAAGTGGAAAATGAGATGAAAAAATTACTTACTATTTTTACTTTTTTATTTTTACTTTATTACTGAAGATTTCCTCTATTGTGTATAAAGAGGGATGCTCCATGTCAGCTTCAAATAAACTGCCATTTTCATTTCCTTAACATTCCAACTGTTTCTTCTCTTTTGCATATTAGAAAGATACTGGTACACTGGCCCTTTCTTGAAATATCTGGCCCCCAAAAATGGGTTGTAGGAGCCACTTTGGCCCTCAAGCAGAAATTTCTGGCTGGAACACTGTACATATAAAGTCTGATACACTTTTTGACTCTTACTTTATTTTTTTACTCACATAGGAATAATTGTCTTTCAACAGCTCTTAAATGTTAAAATAAGTAATGTATGAGGGTTGCAAAAAATAGTGCTAGAGCTATAATACTGGAAAATAATTTCAAAAATCCAAGTTCCTTGAACTTGGAAACATGAAATCTTTGATGCTCGATTCTTGCATAATGAAACTTTCCTTTTTTGCACTTTGAGCCGCAAGAATTGAGATTGAAGGATCAAGTCAAGACAGTCAACCTACTTTTTGATCAGTACAGCTTGTTTTTACAGCATGGATGGTGACATTTTGTATTTTCAAAGTTGTTCATGTATTTGCTACAGTTAGCTGTGGTATGAGAGGTGCCACAATGAAGCACTCCTTTCAAAACCATCGATTTTATGCTTTATTAATTTACGATATTTTTAAGATAATTTTATTATAAATCTCCTATTTGAAATTTTTTCATCCTTGTAGATAGTACGCTTGAGAAGCTTCCACTTCGAAGAACTGACCATGCAAGAGTCATAGACGGTTCAAAACATGCTCATAAGCTCACCTGTGTTGATGGAGACACTGTTTTCTTGAAAAGGTACAAACTTAATCATAATGTACATTGAATTTGTTAATCTACCTTTTTCATTCTCACAATAATTTCTGAAATTTATTGGTTACTCAGTGACCCTGAGACAGCTTTTCTTCATCTTTGACATCCCACTGTTTGAGAACAATTTGTGTTTTAATTAGTTCAGTTACTGCCTGCAAATATAATGTTATTATGTACATATAAAACATGTTATGATGAATGTTTTTCTAATATTCCTCTCCTTGTTTTACATTAATTTTAAGGCCAGGTGGTATTGAAAGGCAATTTCGCTTGAAGTGCAAAAAGTGAGTCAAGGATTATTACATGTAGTCTCTGTCAGTGTTTATCATATTTGTGTCAGTACAGATTGTCTATTGTCAAGGAACTCTTTATACAGATCATGTATTAGAATTTTACACTGTACATTCTCTGGAATATGCACACCTGTATAATGCAGACCTTTGGCTCTGTCCCTTTGGTGTCCATATTAACCCTTTAAGCCCCAGTATGAACATACAAATTCTCCAAACTGATCTGCATACATTTCCTTAAGAATTAGTTGAGAGAATTTGATAATAGATCATGGCATTTTCTCTTGGGTGATCATTTTATTTATTCTCATAACATATCTCTTGACAGTGTTTGGATATTGTTAGGAGAAAATTGATCTTGGTCACTATTGGGACTTAAAGGGTTAAG